CCCAAATCGCGCCGGGCGGAGCGCGCGGCCAGGCGCGCGCCCGGGCGCCGCCGCGCCGGCGAGGGGCTCGCTCGCTCCCTCCCGGTCTTGGCGCGAGGCAGCGCGCCCTCCCAAGGGCCTCCCCTGATGAGCCGGGCGCTTTCGCTTTCCCAGGGGCGGGGAGGGGGCCAGGAGGCTGCCGGAGGGGAGCACGCCGTGCTGCCGCCGCGGGCACGGGCCACGCGCGCGCACGGGCCACGTTGTGCGTCGGGAGGTGTAACCCGAGGCCGCGATTTAAAGAAGGCAACACGCACGCACAGACGCACGCGCGCACACACACACACACGCACAAATCCAGGCCGGGCTTTCGCGGCTCACCTTGGGAAGATCCCCGACGTCAGCCTGCTGGAACCGCGCGATCCAGGAACCTTTCCAGCGAAGGCGCCCGCCGAGCCGCGCGAAGAATCATCCTCATAATAGCAATAATAAATACGTATTCAGCGCTGCCACTGCTGCTGATCCCTGCACCATCATGAATGGGACGCTGAACAACCTGCACGACCACGCGCTGAACGAGGAGGACGGCGCGTTCATGTTTACTTCGGAGTCCGTGGGAGAAGGGCACCCAGGTAAGGCGGAGCCGGAGCGGTTGCAGGGAGATCGGGCGCGCATGCCTGGGTTGTGCTCGGCTCCTTGGCTCGTGCACCCGAAATCGCGGAACGCTTCTTGAGACGTCCCCGTCCCCGAATCCGTACCCCCTCGCGGGTGACACGCAAATAGCGGTCAAAAAATGTGCGTTTTTAACAAGCAAGATCTCTGGCATGCTTCTTTTGGACCCTTTCGGGCATGCCTCACGCCCTGAATACTTCCAGATGTGCGCTGCTATAGACACAAATCAGCCAAAACGACTTTAAGATGCTTGCGAATGACACGAGACACAAACTGCACATATGGACTAGGAAGGATTCCCCCACCACTGAGCTGAATCGCTCCTGCTCCTGTGTGTACGTTTCCAGCTTGACTCTCTCTTGGGGTTTGAATCCTCTGAAGCTGTTGTAGTTAGAGGGAGGCTCAGGTCACCATGGATTATTTGGGGTTTGTTTTGAAAACCCAGTTAGAATGTTGCATTTTGCAAAACTCTTTGGTGCTACTTCAAGCACAGCATGCACATATTCTCAGTTGGCCAGAGTGCATTGCCAGCCAACAGAGAACTGGCTGAAAACTTCTCTGACATGATCTAGCGAAAGCTTCTATCCTCATGAAGAACACCAGATCCCTTTAATAAATTTAGGAGGGGGCCGCTTTAATCTTGTCCTGAACCGCACACCCTCTTCGCCTGGTGGAATCCTCCCCCATGCTTCCCATACCATCAACCTGCAAGTAACTGCCGAAGCAGTTGTGCAGCATCCGAAGACAGGTTGCTCCAGCCTGCCTCTCCTTTCCTACACATTAATGTCCATGTGGAAAGGCAAGATGACAGGACTGGGCATTCCCGTCATTTCCCTAGTTGTCGTAAAAGTGCAGCAATTGGCTGACTTCATAGAAAAACCGCTATGATGCTTATGCAGGCAGCTTGATAGTTATCTGCCAGATTTCGTGCATGGATACTGTAGCTCAAGTTTATTTTATCTGGTAAGCATGAGGACAAGGCCAGGGAGGTGTGGGAGCTCATTGTCTGCTCGGTTGTGTATGTGGCTTTGTAGTGCTCGCAGTGTGATTCAGGCTTTCCTTTACATAACAGTAAGCAGGATTTTTTGAAAAAATGCAGGAGAACCAGAAGGAGTGTTGTGAGGCACAGTCCTGAAGTCCATGTTACAGCATCTGTGGAGCTGTAGCAGCTGGTGGATGCCGCTCTCCATAAGTAGTCTTTCCAGAGATGTCTCTTTTACCCACTGCTATTGCTTCTTGGCCATCCATGCTCCATTTGGGAGCATGCACAAAGGACATGCTTTGAGGGGCAGACTGGGAGAAGTTTCCCCTGTAATGGGAGCAAAAGAGGTGGCTTGGTTGAATTTTCCTTCGTTGTTCTCCAAAGATGAATAAGAAAATAATGCCCCAAGAAGAGGCATTTCCCTGACACACAGTTCTGTTGGTGTAGGCTCAACAGGGCTTTGTTGATTCATCTGCCACAGCTTCTCCTCCCATCCTTGACCAGGTTGTAGAATTTCCCTGTGGATTATTGCAAAGTAGAAGGACTAAGTAAAATTCAGATGTATGGAACAGGTGATGGCAGAGTTTGTGCGTGTCTCAAGTTTCACTCCTTTTATCCCTTGTATTCTCTAGGAATCTATACCACCTGCTCGCCAGACTAAAACACCCTCTGGTCACTGCAGAAAAGCTACGCTCTTCCATAGCATGGATGAGTTCTTGGTTCAGTTCATGGGGTTGATGTCATGAGACTGAGGCAAAGCATCACTGTGGCCATCCATATTTTCAGTGACTTTGATTCCAACATGCTGATGGAGGCTGCGTCTTACCTTGTTGTTTTCAACTTTTGAATTACATTCGAGGCCTTTTCCATCTCAGGACATGACAGCAGCCTAATGAGTCAAGTGAAATAGACCCTCTCCCTTTTTTTCTCCTCTGCGTCAGTATCCTAAACGTACAGGTGATTCAGGCCAGGTCCTCTTATCAGTATCCATGATGTTAGATTTACAGTGGCCCATTCACCTGAACAAGAGTTAATGATTGATGGATTTTTCTAAAAGGGTTAATGATTGATGGATTTTCAAGACATAAGCCCTCACCGGGTACAATTTTCAAATAAAACAGAATCATATGTAAAATCCTCAATCTTTAAAGATATATACCCTCCTAACATGAGCAGTCCACATCATTTGAAGGGACAGCAATGAATCAAGTGCAGATTGGAAAAAAAGTCTTCAATTAAAATAGAATAGTGGTGGAGGCACACAGATTTTTAAGGGAAATGAATTCCATAATGTGGGATCACTGCCTAGAAAACCCTGTACCAGTTCCTTGTCATGCGGAAACCTTTGTCGTGGACATCAGTGCATGGACAGGAACGTGTGAACCAGTCTGGATTCTTCTGGCTGAAATGTGCAGGCCAGGTTTTTCTTCAAATGTGCTAAGGTGCACAAGTCTTTCATCTGTTCTTAAAATCCAAATGTGCCCCTAAGATTCTTGAATTTACCAAATTCTCTAGCAGCTTTCCATATGGGCAGCCCAGCTGCTACACCCATTCCCATGCTGAATAGGTTCTCACCACAGTGAAGTGACCACATGTTGCTTGGCTTTTGGGGCAGGCCAAGACATTTTTGCTTGCCAACACAGACAATTTGGATCCAGATTTAGTCGTGCTTTGAGTAGACCTCTGGAAATCTTTTAGACTTCAATTAGTTGTGGCTGACTGAAGTCTCATTCAGTTCACTTGTGCTTCTGATCAGCTGCTCCCATTCATGGAATTTTCTAGAAAGCATCATCTTCCATATGTAGCCCACTTTGCTTTCCCTCTGTCTCTTTTCCTTTTCCATGTCAGGAAAAAAAATCAAAAGGGAATCACTGTGCAGTGTTTTTTTGTGGGTGGGGTAGTGTCAGGAGGGGCCTTCTGTTTGGACGTGGATCCAAACCAATGTGTGGAAGCTGCTAGATAGCCTTGGTTTGTCCTGTAGGAAATCGAGGGTGTTGGGCCCAGACCTGTGACTCAGCCTTTCACCCTTCCTGCACCTTGACTCGCTTGTACTCCTTGGATTTTACTGCCGGGCTGTAGTTGCTGCTCCCCGGTGTGTGAGTCGGGTACAGCTGTGCAAAAGCTACAAGGAGAAATAAGCAGAAATGTCTGGGTGTACCTAACGTGAGCAGAAGGACTGATGCTGAAGAACCAGGTAGATGATGCAAACCTTGGTCAGGCATCTCCCTGGATAATCCGGTTTCTCCTGGGTGAGGGTGAAATTCTAGTTCATGTTATCTTCACATCATACCAAAGGCCACTTTAAACATAAGTGAAGAGTCGCACTTTTCCTGGGTGGTGGAATTGTATTCTTGAGCACTAGCCCCGTTGTGGGGGAGAGGTGTTCATCATGCACTTCATTTCAATGTGATCCCCCCTCCGCATCCCCCACATAACTGCAGGGATGTGTCTTTGGTCTGTTTCCAGGACGGGGATGCTTGGACTTGTCTGCACAATTAGCTTAAAGTACTACAGGCCCAGTGCTTGATGCTGCTGCCTGTGTCTGTACCACGTGATTGTGTGATAGGGCCTCATGAAAATTCACTGGAGTGAAGGCTCAGCCTTGGAGGGATGGGAATGTACTTGAGTTCTGGCTGCCCCCTGAGACCAGGAAGCCGTGAGATCAGATGGGGCTGGTGAGAGGCAGCAATCCTGCATCATCTGAGCCACAACCAGGGCTGCGGGCAGTGTTGGCCCAGGATGTTCCGCTAGCCAAGGCAATGGAAGAGGAGGCAGCCCCCTCCGTTCCGTCAGCACAGAGCATCCCGGGTGGCAGCTGAATCTTGGCTCAGCAGAGTGCTTTGCTGCCCCTCAAGTCAACAGTGCATGTTTTGGCCACTTCCTATTCCTTCGGCCTCTGCCACCGGAGAGGGCTTGCTGCTTCCTTTCTGGGGCAAATCCCCCTCCACTCCCAGAATGCACCAGCAGTTGTACCCCTGACTTCCACAGGTGTGCTAGACTGCAGCCCAGCCAGCCTCACAGGGCAGTTGTTGTGGGGATAAGACTGAGAGGAGGAGGAGGAGAATGATGTGAGCCACTTTGAGTTCTTTAAAAAGTAAAAAGGGGGGATATAAATCAAATAAATAATAGAAAATACAGTAGGTATTTTGTCTTCAAAACTGCACCTGCACTTTTTTTGCTGCCATGTTACTGCACAGCTGAATTCAGGCACCAAGTGCTATTTTCACAAAAGCAAAGTCAAGTCATTGCTCCCTTTTTATTTTGCTGCCCTGCTACCAAATTTCGGTGGCAAATTTGCTGTTGGGGGGGTGTGCACAAATAGGCCATGAGGATTGCATCAGCCTCGGCTGCAATCTTAGTTAATTAGTTAATCAGCTAATCTTAGAACTGGAATTAAGTGGGCCTTACTTCTCAGTAGAAATGCATAGCATCACTCTGATTAACTAACTGCTGCATTGTGTGCGGAAAGAAATTTTGTGCATGTTGTGTGCGTTTTGCCCATACTTGAAAACATGCTACAAATGCCATTACCCAAATCGCTCGAACAGACAGCGTAGTTAAAAATCATCCAGGGTGTTCTCTCTTTTCCCTTTGGTTACAGTCTTCATTTTTGCAACAGGTTTCTGAGAAGCGCAAGGTCAGCCATCAAAAGGTCTTGTTGTAATAATCCAACATGCACATGTGTCCCAGTCACATAATGTCAGGGTTTGAGCAAACATGTCAGCCGGAACAAATGTTTTCCCTAAAGGACTATTCAGTATCATTTCACTTGGTTTTGGCAATGCTTTCCTTTTGGTGCTTTTTTCAAAGTTAGACGCTGGCACAATTTCAGTTTAAACACCACCTCTGTGACCAGAGTGTCACTTCTTTGCAAATTTCATCAGAAATGTCAATAATTTTCAATTTCGTAATATAAACGAGAGCCATGTTTTCAGGAATTCGAGTTTCAGGAGGGTCATGTTTGCTTTTGCAGTAAAA